TAGATTAATACATTGTGATTTTAATAAGATTTTAGGAATTACATGTTTTCTTGATAGTTTATAACATTTTTATCAGGAAAGCTTTATCTACAAATGACTACTTCTGCCAGAACTGACAGTAACAGTAAAACTGACATTGTACTAAAAGTAAAACGCTAATGCAATTTCTACCTTTGCTTGTTATTTAGGGGCACTTAAAAGAAAGTGATTCATCCACGGAATCACGTATAAAGATATGGAAATGACACTCGAAGTGCTTTACTGGAGCCTGTGACAGAGGTGGAAATAGAAAAGTTAGAGCGACTAGGGAGGCTGGCAACTCAAACTGAGGTGGGCAGTTCTTCCAAGATGGACAGTTGCAATGATGCATGAGAGTTTTCCAATGTGGCATATAAATTATTATAAATGTTTGAAAAAAACGTAGTGTGAAAGGTGTGTGTGTGTGTGTGTGTGTGTGTGTGTAAATATATATATGTAGATATATAGATATATCTAGATATAGATACACATCTACATATAGATCTATAGATCTATATATATATATATATATATATATATATATATGTATATGTATATTTATATATCTATACACACACACATATATAGATATATAGAGAGATATAGAAATATATATCTATATCTCTCTATATATCTACATATATAGTACAGACCAAAAGTTTGGACACCCATTCATTCAATGAGTTTCCTTTATTTTCATGACTATTGACATTGTAGATTCACACTGAAGGCATCAAAACTATGAATTAACACATGTGGAAATATGTTCTAAACAAAAAAGTGTAAAACAACTGAAAATACACCTTGGATTCTAGTTTCTTCAAAGTAGCCACATTTTGCTGTGATTACTGCTTTGCACACTCTGCATTCTCTTGATGAGTTTCAAGAGGTCGTCACCTGAAATGATTTTCACTTCACAGCTGTGCCCTGTCAGGTTAATAAGTGGGATTGCTTGCCTTATAAATGGGGTTGGGAACCTTCAGTTGTGTTGTGCAGAAGTAATGTGGACACACAGCTGATGGTACTACTGAATAAAGTGTTAGAATGTGTATTATGGCAAGACAAAAGCAGCTAAGTAAATAAAAACGAGTGGCCATCATTACTTTAAGAAATGAAGGTCAGTCAGTCCGAAAAATTGGGAAAACTTTGAAAGTGTCCCCAAGTGCAGTCGCAAAAACCATCAAGCGCTACAAAGAAACTGGCTCACATGAGGACCGCCCCAGGAAAGGAAGACCAAGAGTCACCTCTGCTGCGGAGGATAAGTTCATCCGAGTCACCAGCCTCAGAAATCGCAGGTTAACAGCAGCTCAGATTAGAGACCAGGTCAATGCCACACAGAGTTCTAGCAGCAGACACATCTCTGCAACAACTGTTAAGAGGAGACTGTGTGAATCAGGCCTTCATGGTAGAATAGCTGCTAGGAAACCACTGCTAAGGACAGGCAACAAGCAGAAGAGACTTGTTTGGGCTAAAGAACACAAGGAATGGACATTAGACCAGTGGAAATCTGTGCTTTGGTCTGATGAGTCCAAATTTGTGATCTTTGGTTCCAACCACCGTGTCTTTGTGCGACGCAGAAAAGGTGAACGGATGGACTCTACATGCCTGGTTCCCACCGTGAAGCATGGAGGAGGAGGTGTGATGGTGTGGGGGTGCTTTGCTGGTGACACTGTTGGGGATTTATTCAAAATTGAAGGCATACTGAACCAGCATGGCTACCACAGCATCTTGCAGCGGCATGCTATTCCATCCGGTTTGCGTTTAGTTGGACCATCATTTATTTTTCAACAGGACAATGACCCCAAACACACCTCCAGGCTGTGTAAGGGCTATTTGACCAAGAAGGAGAGTGATGGGGTGCTGCGCCAGATGACCTGGCCTCCACAGTCACCGGACCTGAACCCAATCGAGATGGTTTGGGGTGAGCTGGACCGCAGAGTGAAAGCAGAAGGGCCAACAAGTGCTGAGCATCTCTGGGAACTCCTTCAAGACTGTTGGAAGACCATTTCAGGTGACTGAAGCTCATCAAGAGAATGCCAAGAGTGTGTGGAGCAGTAATCAAAGCAAAAGGTGGCTACTTTGAAGAACCTAAAATATAAGACATATTTTCAGTTGCTTCACATATTTTTGTTAAGTATATAATTCCACATGTGTTAATTCAGTTTTGATGCCTTGAGTGTGAATCTTCAGTTTTCATAGTCATGAAAATGAAGAAAACTCCTTGAATGAAAAGGTGTGTCCAAACTTTTGGTCTGTGTGTGACCTGGTGTGTGTGTGTGTGTGTGTTTACATAAGTGGATATCTAGTTATCCAGATAACTAGATATAGTTATATATCTGCATATGGATATGTTTATACATTTTTATGTTTATACATTTATATTAAACTAGTTTCTGTTATTTTCAAAGATGCCATATGAATATTTTTGTAGATTGTATTTTTTGTTTGGCAGTGCATTTGTTGTTGCATCATTTGCTCTGTGTTAATAAAGTTCTTATAATTGAAGAGTTAAAAAACTGGTAATATTTTAAATTACAAAACAAAAAGCCTTGACCAAAAGAAACTTTTCATCTCTTTCTTTAATGCAGGTTTTATGCTAAAGCATTTTAATATGGTTTGTTGATTAAGATTGCATATCTATGAATGTAATTCACTTCCAGGTTAGGTGAAACAGACCCCATTGTTCCTACAGGAGTAAGGCATCTTTCTCCGACTGAAAACCCAGTCAGGACTTGTTAAACCTATATGGGCTACAGCATATGGGCCCATCATGGAAAATGTGGAAATACACGTTTGTTACCCATGCTTGCCCAGTTGAAGTCCTACTAAGGCCCAGTAAACATTTTTTAAAGCACATATATGGGCCATACATGGGTGTCATGTAAGTTAACAATCTGGGTCCCACTGGAAACCCAGTCAGAGCCCATTTAAATCGACCTGGGAAAACCCATGTATGGCCACCATGGAAACCGGAGACAAACCCACTTTTTACCCATGTTCTAGCCCAGTTTAGACACAATTGGGGCCCAGGTAAAAATTCCTTACAGCACCCTAGTGGGCCACAGATGGGCCTCATGTAAGTTACCCATGTGGGCCCCACTGGAAACCCAGTCTGCATCCATTTAAATCTAGCTGGGCAAACCCACGTGGGGCCACCATGGAACCCGCGGACAAACCCATTTGGGGCCCATATTGGCAGCCCTCTTTTTTCCCATATGGGGCCCACATAGGTATGCAGGCTGGTATTTAATGGATGGGTACATCTGGGACAGGCCGCCAGTCCATTGCAGGAGAACAATGGAAAAACAACCATGTAAACACACACTCACACCTAGAATTTAGAGAGACAAATTAATAGTCATGTTAAGTGACCTAGGAAGTCCATGGAGTTGGCAGAGAACATGCAAACTCCATGCAGAAAGACCCCTGGCTGGGACCTGAACCCAGGACTTTCTTGCTGCAAGGCAACATTGCAACCACTGTGCACTCAGTTGAATTAATTTAAATGTAAAAATATTTTATTGATGCCGTGGGGAAATTAAGCATTGTCATATCATCCATGTATCTTCAAAGAGTTGTTGTGGGGAGTGACGCTGTCGGCAGGAAGGATCTCCATTTACAGTCAGTCCTGTAGAAAATCTGAAAAGCCCTCTGACTGAAGACATGGCTGTATGACAGTCTCATGACTGCAATTACATGCTATTAGCACAGTTTCCAGGTGGCAGAGATGATATTTCACAGTAACACATCCTAGGTGATACCATCAGTTGTTAGCAAGCACTGCTAGTCTGCCTCATTTGCCTTTGCTGGTCCTCCTGAAGAGGGAGAATAATTCCCTTTTTAAAGAAACTTTGTCCACACACAGTTATCTATGAGCTATCTACCAAATGATCAGTGGAGTATGATGGGTTAACTTCTGTTAGGTCGCAAAGTGGTAAGTTACTAATGTCAGCATACCAGTTAAAAAGGTGCTCTGGTGCTAGCTTATTGAAGACTGAAGCTGTTTGTGCAGTCAGATATATCTTTAGAAACTAATGCCACAGCTGTCTGCATTTTAAGTAACACATTCTCAGAGCAATATAGTGGCTTTTTTTTAGCCTAACATAAAGGTAACAATTTGTTGGAAACAAAAAATTCTCACATCATCTTTATTAACAGGACAGATTAAAAAGATCTGATAAAATGATATCAGTCAGAAATCCACAACTAACATTTTGCAAATCAGAGATTATGAAAATTAAATAAAACATGTTAGCTTCCCTCAAGTTTGTGTGTACACAGTAGCATAACTGGATTGAAAGAGTCAAAGTAACAGATGCTTGGAAACCAACCTGACTGATGGTGCTCATGGCTCTCATGTAGCTTTCATTGCGTGATCGGTATTGGGGTGAAGACAGCAGTGATTTGGGGTCAAGGAGAGTTTTAGGATCCAGTGTATCCAGGCTTCTGTTGATTGAAACCTCACTCACAGCACGCAAATAACTGTGACTCCTGATCTGCAGTTTGGGGGAGTGTTCTGTGGAAATTCTGACAGAGAGACAGCATCAGGTTATCTCAGAAACTGTCCAATTCATCTACACCTACCAACATCATTGCTTCACAGAATACACAAGTAATTTACTACCTTCTTAAATGTATGATAAAAATTCCTTTTTTGTGCACCAACATGTTAGCTAAGTAGGGGAGGAAAAAGCACTTTAGTTTATAATATGAATATTTTGACTATCCAGCAGTGTTGTGTTCAAGACCACCCAACC